CCTATAGCTCAACCGGCTAAGGCGCCAGCCACGTACACCTAGGGTGGCGGGTTCGAATCCCCAGCCCAGACCCGCCGAACAACAATGACGGCTGCAGCCAAAAAATGGCCGGGCGTTGTGGCGGGCGCCTGTGGTCCCAGCTACTTGGGGAGGCGGAGGCAGGAGACTCGCTTGAGCCCAGGAGTTGGAGGTTGCTGTGAGCTATAATGCCACGGCACTCTACCCAGGATGACAGCTTGAGGCACTGTCTCAAAAAAAAAAAAAATTTGACATTTTTCCCTTTCTCTACTTCCAAAGTACTAGTTAGTGTACATTTTCTCCCTTCTTTTTTTTCTTTAAATGTATTTTGGATTAGTGTACCCCAAGAAAAAGTCTTTTCTTACCCCAAGATAGGGTCTTGTTCCTCTATTGTTAGCGTACCTTTTGACATTGGTGTGTGGATTTTTTTTTTCCTGAGACAGAGTCTCATTATGTCACCCTTGGTAGAGTGCTATGTCATCAGAGCCCACAGCAACCTCCAACTCTTGCGCTTAAGCAATTCTCTTGCCTCAGCCTTGCAAGAAGGTGGGACTACAGGTGCTCGCCGTAACACCTGGCTATTTTTTTTTGTTGCAGTTGTTGTTGTTTAGTAGGCCTGGGCTGGGTTCAAACCTGCCAGCCTTGGTGCATGTGGCCGGCATCGTAACCACCGTGCTACAGGCGCTGAGCCTGGTATGTGGATTTCTTTCATGGCTCTTGAGGTAGATGATGTATTGATGTATTGGCTATTTATTTATCTTTAAAAGTCCAGCACATTTCACAAATGATTGAGCCCTTCCAGTTATCTTATCTTTTGTCCCCTTAGATACAAAGAAGTGCTATTTTTTTGTCTTTAATATTTACTATTATGTAAAGTATAATGCAAGTGGATGCCATTATCTTACTCGTTTTTGTGGGGGGCACTCTTACATGAAATCATCAAGGAACTATTATAGATGAGTATATCCCCCTTTCCCTTCTACCTTTTCCTAAGTTAAAGTATGGTAACAGATAGGTTTCTGGGGTGATATAGCATAGGTATGTACCTTCCCAGAAAAATAATTTATTATTATTATTTTTTTCATATCAGAAAGGTAAAGAGCTGATGCCATAACATGGTTTGAGAGAGGCACATGTAACACATGAGTGTGAAAACAATTACTAGGTTTATAAACTACAAAAGGATCTCTAAAAAAAAGTAATTTTGTCTCAGTTAACAGTATTTGTTTTTTTGTTTTTTGGGGTTTTTTTTGAGACAGAGCCTCAAGCTGTCTCCCTGGGTAGAGTGCCGTGGCATCACAGCTAACAGCAACCTCCAACTCCTGGGCCCAAGCGAGTCTCCTGCCTCAGCCTCCCAAGTAACTGGGACCACAGGTGCCCGGCACAACGCCTGGCTATTTTTTTTTTTGGTTGCAGCCGTCATTGTTGTTTTTTGGTGGGCCCAGGTTGGATTCGAACCCGCCACCTTGGGTATATGTGGCTGGCACCTTAGCCACATGAGCCACCAGTGCCGAGCCAACAGTATTTGTTTTAATACTTTCTTTTCTTGCTTTGTCTTTCTGTTTTTGTTATTTCTTTTTACTCATTTAGGAAACATTTATTATCTATTTATTGTGTTTCAGACTTGTGTTATGCCCTGTTTAAGACATCATTCCGATCGTGGTTCTTGGGTTTCTCATAGATTGGTATTTTCCTTTTGTAGTGTTTTAGATGTAATTCTTAAGTCTTTGATTCCTTTTAGTGGCTGACTACTGAATTGCTATTGAATGCTTGAAAACTTTTTATTTCAGAATTTTTTTTTTTTTTGAGGCAGAGTCTCATTGTATTGCCCTCGGTAGAGTGCCATGGCATCACAGCTCACAGCAACCTCAAACTCTTGGGCTTAAGTGATTCTCTTGCCTCAGCCTCCCCAGTAGCTCATACTACAGGCGCCCATCACAACGCCCGGCTATTTTCGTTGTTGTTGCAGTTGTCATTGTTGCTTTAGCTGGAGTGGGCTGGGTTCGAACCTGCCAGCCTCAGTGTATGTGGTTGGCACCCTACCCACCAAGCTATGGGCGCTGCCAATTTCAGAAATTAAAGCCTTAGCTTTTAGAAGGGCCAAGTGTTAAGTTTCAGAACACTTTTTTAGAGACAGAGTCTCACTTTATTGCCCTCGGTAGAGTGCTGTGGCATCACAGCTCATAGCAACCTCAAATTCCTGGGCTTAGGTGATTCTCTTGCCTCAGCCTCCCGAGTAGCTGGGACTACAGGTGCCCACCAGAATGCCTGGCTATTTTTGTTTGTTTTTGGTTGCTGTTGCAGTTTGGCCAGGGCCAGGTTCGAACCCACCACCCTGGGTATATGGGGCTGGCGCCCTACCCACTGAGGCACAGGTGTCACCCTCAGTCAAATTTTTAAATAGCTTCTGCTGATTCTACTATGCCTCATAGGACCTCAAGGCACATTTCAATCTAATAATAACAGTAAGTAATAATAGTAGATGCTTATACAGTCGCATGCTGCACAACATTTCAATTAACCATGGTCCTATAAAATTATAATGCCATACTATACTTTTTCTGTGTTTAGATACATAAATATTTATCATGGTACTACAATTGCTTACAATATTTACCATAATAACATGCTGTATAGGTTATAGGTTAGGAGGAAATAGCCCATACCATGTAACCTAGGAGTATAGTAGGGTATACCTTCAAGGTTTGCGTAAGTATATGCTATGATGTTCCTACGATGACAAAATCATTAATGACACATTTATTAGAAAGTATTTTCATCGTTAAGTGATGCATTCAAATATAGATTTGAATGCTTATGCTGTACTGGCTTCTGTTCTAGGTGCTTTACATATGTTAACTTATTTAGTCTTTACAACTCAGGGAGCTAGGTACTTTCATTCCTATTTCACAGAGAAAACTGAGAGATTGAGTAAGTTGCTTAGCGGCTCACAGCAAGTTGGGTTTGAGGAGGCATTCTGGTTCCAGGTCGGCACTCTCATAACAGGACCACTCTGCCATTTGACTACTATATTACTAACATAAAAGACCAGAGGCAGAGTGGCCCTGTGGCTCAAGGAGTAGGGCACCAGCCCCATATACCGGAGGTGACGGGTTCAAACCCAGCCCTGGCCAAAAATTGCAAAAAAAAAAAAAAGAAGACTAGAGGTATCTCATCTCTAAACTGGAAGGAGATTTACAAGTGTCTATGTAGTAGTAAACTGGGTGAAAAAAGGTATTACATTTTCTTTTATATCAAAGGTATATGATTAAGGTAAGCAAAGCAGAATATAAAATATTAGGAAAGATAATAAATGTTGAATTTGCATAAAACTTCAAAATCTTTTCAGGGTTTCTAATGAGAAAATTGTGCTTGCTTCCATGAACACATGCTTTTATTTGTTTTGTTTTTCCCAGGTATAAAAAGTTAGGAGAATATAAGCTTTTAAATATCAGGTTTATCCATGAAATAGCATACAGTTCTTTTTTTTTTTTTTTTTGAGACAGAGCCTCAAGCTGTCCCTGGGTAGAGTGCCATGGCATCACCGCTCACAGCAACCTCCAACTCCTGGGCTCAAGTGAGTCTCCTGCCTCAGCCTCCCAAGCAGCTGGGACCACAGGCGCCTGCCACAACGCCTGGCTGTTTTTTTGGTTTCAGCCATCGTTGTTTGGCGGGCCCAGGCTGGATTCAAACCTGCCACCCTAGGTGTATGTGGCTGGTGCCTTAGCCACTTGAGCCACAGGCACCAAGCCGAGCATACAGTTCTTGATCTAGACTTTTTTTTTTTTTTTTTTGAGACAGACTCTCAAGCTGTTGCTCTAGGTAGAGTACTATGGTGTCATAGCTCACAGCAAACTCCAACTCTTGCCCTCAAGCAATCCTCCTGCCTCAGTTTTTCTATTTTTAGTAGAGCTAGGGTCTTGGTTTTGCTCAGGCTGGTCTTGAACTCGTGAGCTCAAGCAGTCCACCTGCCTCATCCTCCCAGAGTGCTAGGATTACAGACATTAGCCACCGTGCCTGGCCCTGATCTAGACTTTTAAATGATGGTTTCTTAGGAAGAGTCCTCTTTAAATTTTTTTATGTATGTGTAGTAGATAATAAACCATTTTTGTTTTCTAAGCATTCAGTAATTTACAACAGTTAAAATTATTTTTAAAGAATCCAAAAGCCGGCTCGGCGCCTGTGGCTCAAGCTGCTAAGGCGCCAGCCACATACACCTAAGGTGGCGGGTTTGAATCCCCAGCCCGGACCCGCCAAACAACAATGATGGCTGCAACCAAAAAAATGGCCAGGCATTGTGGCGGGCCCCTATAGTCCCAGCTACTTGGGAGGCTGAGGCAGGAGACTCGCTTGAGCCCAGGAGTTGGAGG